GTGAGCACGGCCCTTAGACTTGCGCTTCACGCTGCCAGTGAATCCACACACCATTGTTGTAAAGCAAATGAAGCAAGTTAGAAACCAAAAGTAAAAAATGTATTTAAAGCAAGGTCGAGCTTGGCTTACCAAGCTCAGAGTTTGGTCTTGAGGCTTCGACTGGGCGTACCAAGGGGTTGTAATCTAACAATCCAGATCCTAGAAGCAGCTTATCAGTCACCAAGGTTCCGATCTTCCTGCCCATTGGAAAGTGATCCTTGTAATACTTGAGGGTGTCGAAGGAGGCTTGAGTGAGCTCGAGAATTGGTCTGATCGACACTGCACAAGACAAAGAAGAATTCAAGTTAGATATGGAAATATACAGTAGAAAGATCTAAAGTTGTAAAAATAATTGTAACGACCTCATACCTAAATTCTCAAAYCTAACAGGAACGTCAAAGAAGGGACGACCTGACTCGTTCTTTGCCAGCCACTCTCCAGAGGCAAAGAACCATTTCCCCACCCATCCTTTGATGGAGGTCGGCCCTTTGACTATACCACTCGCGCCCTTCCTTGCGCACATGTAGTACTGACCTGGCTTCTTAGCTATCCTTTTAGCTTCAAAGCACCCTAGAAGCTGTTAAACATCTAGCAGATCGGTCTCGTCCACTTCTCGAGCTCGTAACCAAAAAAGGATGGCCAAAGCAAAAATGACACCCCATCCGTTGCGGGCCACTTGAGCAGGAGTCAGTCCAGTTCGGTTCAGGAACTCCTGGGCAAAAGGATGAAGGGGAAGTCTGAGGTCGTACTCAAACATTTTTAAATAGAGAGTGACCCATCCCTCTAGAGGATTGTCAGCTCTTTCCCTTTCCTCCGGAATTCTAAGGATGATATCATCTAGAATACTAAACCCGCTACGGAGGGGTCCAAGATAGTGCTTAGGCATTTTTTAAGGGTATTCCAAACCCTGGCGCGGGTGTAAGTGTCGCTATCTTCCCCATCGTCGAAAAATCTAAAGTTTTCTACCTCTTCTAGCTCGGGCTCTAACCTACGGGCTAAATCTTCCCCAAAGTCACTTGGCTGAGGGGGGGAACTGCTTATAGTACGACCTCCGCTACCTAAGCTATCACTACTGGAGGGGGAGGACATGAAAACCACCATATTCGAAATAAAGAAGTAAAATGAGAATGACTGACCTACGGAGGGTTCGAGCTGGTTTCAGATCGAACTCCAGAAATTCAGGGAACGTAAGGTTTGACCTAAAGTCTCGGAACTATTTATAGCTAATCGGGAAAACCTCTACGCCGTACACGTGTAATGAACGAGCGGCCATGATCATCTCGAAATTCGTAACGACGGAATACTCGAGTGTCCGACAGCCTGGCATATCGACGCATCTTCCACAACGGTCGTATTTTCTCTACGAATTAGAAGTCTCCACGTGTCCAAAATTGAGTCGGGTAACTTCTCTGCCAGATCGAGATCGGACCTGACAGAGAGGGGGCCAATGTTTGGGGATAAAAATACCTTGGACACATGGAGGACGCTCATTGGTGTTCAAGGAATAAAGGAAGTATCCTAGGTCCACCTCGAACCTGCCGAGGAGACTAGGTTTGCCCATCGACAAGGCTAAGTGTAAAAAAGCCCCGGTTCGACCTGGACGGGTTCGATCTGCTCAAACCCGATAGGTTTGACATAAAAAAGACAAAGGTAACCGCCAGTCGTGAGCACTGTCGGACCCGCCACCTATAAATAGAAGGCCTTATTTCACAGACAGGTATTGAATCTCACCTCGAACTTAATATTGAGTYCGACAAGAACTGACTTGAGCGTCGGAGAGTTTGCCCTCTTGTGGAGTTCAGGTCAAGTCAGAAGTCGGGTTCGAGCTTGGTTCGTAAGACAGCGCTGAGCAATTCTTTGCMTAAACAATTTGTATATCATCCTTTATTTTTCCGAAATTGTAATGTCATTTTTTAAAGACAAAAAAGTACTATTTAAATAGATGTAACAATATTGTTCTAACATTTACTTTTCTCGATTTTTCAATGACTTTACCTTTAATGACGTCATCAATCATTGTGATAATATGAATAAATTGTACTTTTTTTAATAAATTATTTCTAATTGATTTTTCAATCTTAAAAAGTGGCTAAAGGACGAGAAACTAATTTCTCTCGTTACTCGTTTAATATTTCATTATAATTACTAAAAGTTAAATATATATTTTAATTCCTAATATTATGGGTAATTTTTTTTTACCAATTTTGTCTCTACTGGTTAAATAGTTTCCATTTAGTATTTACAATTTAACATTTTTTTTATTATACCCTTTGTTGTCGTGAATTTTAAAATTGGTTGATAATAGACTTAATGATGATGTGGCACACATTGAAGATAATTTGGATAAGCTATGAAAAATAAAATTGAAAGTTTGGGAATTAATTCCTCCTCTCCTTCCTTTCTTCCAGTCTTCCAACATCACCACSATCCTTTCTCTTCGTTCATCTTCATTTTAACATTCAAATTGATTAAGGTTCTAGGTTACAATGTGAATTAGAAAATTTATCAACATATTCGTCGACATTCGTATTGAGTTCTTTGAGAGATCTTTTACTATGTAGTTAACATATGTTAATTGCTACATCATAATTTTGTTAGATCAATTAGCGATCAATTCAGCTCAGGGACCAATTAGAAATCCAATTCAAACCTTAATTAAGAAATTTGAGGGACCAAACATGTCACTTTGAATTGTACTATATTGTTTTAACTTTACATAATAATTTCCGTTAAAGCGAGTATAGCTCAACAGTAATTGATATATATTTCCAATCAAGAAGTTGTGAATTCGAATCCCCTCCCCAATATATTGTACTAAAAAAAAACTTTACACAATAATTTCTAATGAACTTTGGCCCTTTTTTCTGCTTATTTTTAGACCAAATACAAATGTTACTCTTTACTATCAAACCATAATTGAAGAATTGTTATTATTAAATATTTGAATTTTAATTTCAATAATTATGCCAATTTTATAATCATTTTATTTTATTTTATTTTCTACTTGAAGTAAAACAAGACCAAGAATATGAATGGAGCGATCAAACTCGGACAAATTAAGCCCAAATATCAAATGGTAGCCCGAGAACTCAAATGATAAGACTTGAAAAGCAGACCTGGCCCAAAAACCAAGGCCCATGGGTAATCGGCCTATGAGTTAGCGTCGCTGAGGGCTGGGCGATTCGGTCAAGTTGTGATCGATCTTGGGTAAGCTGACTTGAGCCAACCACAACAAGGTCGGCTCAACCAACTACACTTGCTTAGCGTGTCGTTCGGTCGATCGTCTCTTGATCAATCATGGGTTAAGCTAATTAGCCTATCTCGATATTCTCCTTTGCATTGCAAAATGAACCCATCATGATCGAACTTCTCGAGATCTAAGGGATTCGAATCACCCTTATTTAAAGAATCTAAATTGCCTTAAGTAATTTGGATTTCCATCGTATAAGGAATTAAGAAGAAAAACGTATCCTATTAACCCTAGGTTTTCCCCTCTATAAATAAAGGATAAATACTTAGTGGCGGATCCAGAATTTTATGTCAGAGGACACAAATGCAAATAAACATAAAGGTGAAAGATATCTAACTTAGTTTTTAATGTGGAGGATCAGTTTCTAATGCAGAGGATCCACTAATGTGGAGGATCAGTTTCTAATGCGGAGGATCCACTTTTAGTGGCAACCATATAGCATCCAATAAGTAGATATTAACACCCAAAACCAAACTCTGATACAACGTGTTGGAAAGAAAAGAGGTTGGGATTGGATAGAGTAGGATCCTAGCTAAAATGGATTGAGAAGAAGTAGATAGAGAAGGAAAAAATGGCAATCATTTTACGTGCAAAACCCCTAAACGAACTAGAGTAAAAAACCACGAGCAAGGATAACATAATTCGACTCAACAAAAATAAGAATATTACAAACTCTCTCTTATAGAGAACAAAATCTCTCATGAGAAGAGACTCACTCTATTTTATCTCAAAAAGATCACTTGAAGTTAGTGAATTTGGGATAGGTTGCTTAGCCCAAACGTACTTGCTTGTCAAGTACATTTTTATGGCTACAAATATGCCACATATTTAATAAAATTGAAATAAAATAAAATTTGTTTCACCTTACCAAACTTAAGGGTAAAATTTTCTTTTCCCCTAAAAATTCTCTTGATACAAGTTCCCTCATAGCCACATTATTGGCCAATTTAAGTTAAAAATACTAAAGTGTCCATTTTGAGACCATACACAGACCTCAATCAAATTACAAATTTAAAAAAATTAGATTTTTTAAAGATAAAATTTTAAGTTTTGGAAACATATTTTTCAAATACATCACTTCACTGTAGGTAAAAATTTGAGGAAAAAAAAGAAACATCAATCTTTACCCATAAACTTAAGAAGTGTATCATCTTTTTACACTAAATTTACAATTACATCAAATTGGTGTTGCAATCTTTGCCATATGTTCAATTTTTGCTAATTCATCAACTAAATTTAACAAAAATCAATGTAAAAATCTCCAAAAACTCACTAAGTTAAATCAATGCAAAAAATCGAGCACAGTTCTAATTTTACATAAAGTAAAATTACCGAACATTCAAGTTTAAGATGCAATTTGATAAAATTGGAAGTTAAAAGATAAAAATTGTTCCACCTTGCCAAATTAAGGGTAAAAAATGATTTTTTTTCCATAAAAGTTTTCTAGATATAAAAGAGGTGAATTGTCTCTTTCACACAGCTCAATTCAAGAGATAAAGTAACATGCTCTTTTAATCAGTTCTGTTTTTTCTCATTCATAGCAACAGCCAAGAGTTTTTGCACTATCCATGTGTAAAATAAGATCATAAATACTAAGCTCTAACTGAAGTTTCAATTGCTACCTTTCCGGAGCACGTCACACTGTCGGCCTTCTCCTCGACTTCCCAGAGCTCTGGCAATCCTTCCCTGATATTATGAATGCTCTCGAACGCATGATCCACCCCCTTGCTTCGTTGTGAATTACTGACCTAAATTCATGACAGGATCCAGATGTTAAAGAGTTGAGCAACTTGAAAAAAGGAAACTCGAGCCACCGGGGAAGACGGTAATCATTCATCACTTACCAGCACTGTGTGAAGGCCTGTAGACTTCCCGGTTTGCAGATTACGAATGCTATCGTCAAAGAACAACTGTAGAAATGACAATAAGAAGAATGTACCATTGTGAAAAGAGTGAAGGTGAACAAGAAGAAAGGGCCCAGTAATAGATAACCAAGCAATGTTTCTTGATATCAGATAGCAGCTGTGAAACAGTTTGAACATAAACATAAATTATAATTAAAAACTAGGAAAAGGTAATTCAGAATTTCCAGAATCTGTTTTCCACTTACAGTTTTTTGCGGGCTGATATCGGCTATCTTGAAAACTTTCTTGAATGCCTCTTCAAATGGTTTGCAGATGACCGGTGTCTTCGGAAGGTCAAGACCAGAGTTTTGACTGCTCATACATTGATTAATGTCGAAAATTTCAGATCCTGCCTCATCATCAACTGTTCCTTTATTAGGATTCAAAGTCTCAAAGCATAAAATCGCTTCAAAGCAGTCCTCTAATCCGAGTCTCTTCAGCACTCTGGTTGCGTGAGCCATATCAGCATTTGTGAATATCTGAACTCACAAATCAGATGAAAACGCGAAAAAGAAAAAGTAGATCAAATCGCTCAGTGAAACCCAACATGGCACGGAATCATTTAACTAATATCGAACAAGCTACATACAAGTTTCCGTATTGGTAAGCTAAGGAGGAGGTTCCTCAATACAGGGTCAGGCTTCAGCATATCATAAGGCAACCTACCATGAACAAAACTGCAGAACAGAAAAAAAAAAGAATAATGATGGACAAGACTCGAAACTCTCAAACCTATGAACTAATGAAGATCGAAAAAAATGTTACCTATGGAAATCATCATAGTCAAAGTTATAACCGATAGCCTGCAATTAACAACAATGACACAGAATCCATTGATTGGATGGAATGCTTGTTTTGAAGAAAGGTCATGTAAAAGGCTATGATGTCTAACTTACTCTAAGAAGAAAGGTCATGTAAAAGGCTATGATGTCTAACTTACTCTAAGACCAGCCATTGTTGTCCCGTAAATCTTGTACAAGGAAATGCAAATTTCAGGCACTTTCTCTTCAACTCCCAACTTTTGAATCATATATTCTATAAGGAAAGTAATAGACTTCATCAATCCATTAAACAACAAAAATTAAAACAAAATTTGAACTCATTATATGGAAAGATCTTGTAAAAATAAGAAAGGCAACATTCCAATTGATGAGATGTACTTTAGCTGGGAAGAAAAAGGTAAAACCATGTGGGTTTAGGTCCAAAAATAAACTATAAGCCAAAGAAATTGCAACTAAGTACTAACCTTGAATGTTCTTGGTGATTTCCTTAGCCAAACCAGAGTTAAAAGAATAAAGGGTGTCATCTAGATCTGAAAGAAAACACACAATCCTTCATTATCAAAAACTTTCCACTTCAACTTTGAAACTGAAAAAGAAGTCCAAAATGAGTACCAAAGAGAAGACATTCATATCTTGCATCAGGAAACTGCTTGAACTGATCACCGTTTTCCATTTCCAAGTATAAACTCTGACCACAAAATCTGAGGAAAAAAGAAAGAAAGAAACCCACAACTCACAAAACTAAAATGCTTCAATCTGAAATGCCCAAAAGCACAAATGAAAGAAACAGATCTCAAACTAAAGGGTTCTCTGAAAAATAACCACAAACAAATAGCATTTCATCTTTCAAGTGATTTCAGATCAGACCCATTGAAGTTAAAAATGAATCATCCAATGATGCTACCCAGACCCAGTGAAGTATTCTTGAAATGGTGCAGAACATATAACAATAGGAATGGAAACACACTTACAGGGATCGAACTTGAATCGCCTGAAGAAGAGGGATCAACTAAAATGCGATCAGAAGTTGTGGGAACTGAAAAATAGGAGCAATGTGTCGAGATATTGTAGACAAATTCTCCTCCGCAACAGTTTTCTTCACGCCTTTTCATGAACAGTCGGTGAGTAGAGTATCATCATCAAGGCTCTTAATTACAGAGATTTCCTTTTTCCTTTTACTTCTAAAAGACAAAAAAGAAAAAAAAGAATTGGTAACGTTACCGTGAAGTTCGGCAATGGACTGCGTGGGATGTAAATTTCTCCGCCGCATCAAATGCGAGCTTCTGCGGTGGACGGCGCCGCCGACGGCGGACGCTTGCTTCGGTAGTCGGTAACGTCTACGTCTAGGTTTTGACTACCCAAATTTAGTTTGTGTTTTGAATATTATTTTTATTTTTCCGCCATTTTAATATATGTACTTTCAATTTTTAATAATTTTAGTTTCAAAACGATAATTTGTTCCTTTTATTACAAAAAAGGGCCATTTTAATCATTTTATTTTCATTTTTATTTTATTTCATTAATTTTAACATTTCACTTCATTCATTGAATCTTTTGAAATGTAGCTAATAATTTGTATTAAATGATTTTCATTGTGTATAAAATTTTGTAAATAATGATACAATTTGCCCCTTCTTAAAATATGTATGCTTAGATAGGTAAGTATGTACATTGAGAGGTATAGGTAGGTATCTATGTGTATGTATTTATGTAGGTGTTGGCTTTTTGGACTTTAGTCTCGATTTAATTAATTAATGTTTTGATAATAACAAACACATTTGATAGAAATTATTTTTGGTACGTCAAAATTATTGTTGAATAGCATAAATGTATTATAAGCTTAAGTCATGGTACGAGTAGGAGCAACTTCTACAAGACGAGGGCATAGTGTCAAATTTTCTGGAATTGAATGTCATGATAGAGGGAAATGAAAGCCATTGATCATGAAATTGGCACCGCTATAGTGGTGGAATATGATTGTCTTGAAGCAAATCATGTGCTGAACGAATAGGAGGAAGATTTTACCGAACTTCTCAAAAGACAAAGTCATGGAGATAGCTAATACCATTAACTTTGTTGGATTTCAACATGGGAATCGATAAGCTAATAAATGACCCAAATGTCGTGAATTCGAATACTCTCCTCCATATGTTGTACCAGAAAAGTGGCATTGTCCACGCAACAATGAAGGATCGAGATTTGTGTGTGGCATAGGACGATTGGATTACTGAGGTCACACGTGGCACGTCACACTATCATATGTTATATCGCCTCGGTCTTATCTTCTGTGACCGATTCGAGCTCCCTGGTAGTCGAGCTAACCAGGCTTACTTGGAATCTCGTTCCCATCCTTTGGCTGAACCGATTTCTCTACCTCCAACAGACTCCAGGACATCATGCTGCATTTCACGGTTACCTTAAAGAGCCAATGAGACTTTATCTAGAACATGGTTGGAGATTTACTCTATAAATAGAACTCATTTGCTCCGTTCAAAGGTACGCGAATTCTAAATTCTCTTTCGAGTTTGGTTTGGCCGATGACTGAATTTAGCATTAGAGTGTGTTCTGTTTTGCAGGCACCAATCCGATTCATTTCTAGCTCGTCCTTCGAGTGGCTCGCAGTACCGAACCGACGATCATACAGTTGATTGATTTCGTGATTCAACAATATATAAAAGTTAACTAGTAATTTTAATGTTTTGAAGTTTGTTTGAAATAAAATTACTCAAACAAATAAGTTACGGCTGTAACATTGAAATAAAAAATATGTAGATGATAGGCAGTTGACTAGGATCAACCATAAATTGACATGTGGCATGATATATATATATATAGTAGGTATTTTCTTTTTTTCTTTTTAAGACATATTAGCCAGTATTTGTTATTGAAAGCAAGGTTCGAAATGTTGATGTCGATAGAAATGTCGAGGTTCTGATTTTACAGACATGTTGATACGGCAGATATTTGGAGAAAAGTCAAAGAAATTGTAAAAATTAATTCAATTGTTTTAATTAGTAAATAAAACTTTAATTATTGCTTAGTTAAGATATAATTGATGACTTCTAACCATCATCTATATCTATCTATAGTATATATAAAATGTGGGATGAGGAGAAACTTCTATATACCATTTTTGCCCTCTCATTATAACTCTCTTTATTTTTCTTTTGATGGCAATTGTGTCATTTAAATACAAACTTTCTCTCTCAATTTATCTCTTCTCTCCATCACCATCTCATCCCTCTAAATTCCCCTATTTTCTCTTACTAATCTTCTCTCTCTTAATTATTCTTTCATTAACTTTATCTTTCTCATTGATTTTTTTTTTTTAACTTCTTTCATCTACCACATACCCTCCCCCAATTCTTTCATCTTCCTAACCCCCTTCCAATGATCACATACCCTCTCTCAATCCTTTCATCTTCCTAATCCCGTTTCAATCCATATATAAATATGTGTCCTCTCTTTCTCATGCCAACCAAAAATCAAGAGGTGGTGGATGGAACAAAGTGGAAAATTTTCCAAATGGTGTGAAGGTATGAAAATTACTCTCTTGCTTTAGCAACGACAACAACAATGCACATATGGGTGATCGAGAGGAGAATTGATAGTGAAGAGAAACCAAATTAAAGCTGAGTTGATGACATCGGTTCACTTTCCCCAAATTTATCATTGTTCAGATTGAAAGAAATTCTAGAGTACAATGTGTCGAGATGGTGGTCGATGGAATCGAGATAAAGCAAAATTCAATTATTCTCATAATTTGGATAATAAGAATGCTTATGAGTTTGATTTTTATTTATTTATTTTTTAAACTGATGCTTTTGATAGATATATGTGAAATGTTGTAATTAATTTTACAAAGTTAGGGCAAACAAACAATTTTTATCCCTCGGTTTACTCTTTCTCTCACTCTTACTTTTCTTTTTCATTCTAGAATGAACAAACTCAATGATTTAACATCACACAATTTAACAAAGATAAAATGTAATATAATAATTTATAATCAAGAAAATTAGAGGTAAATTAAGAACGTTCATTCATAAAAAAAAAAAAAAACTTGCACGTTGGTGCTTTTTCATCTTTCTTGCACGTTCATTCAGCTTCTTTTATTACAACAATATCATACCTTGAATTTATATTTATATATAATCACTTTCTTTCTTTAAAATGATAATATTATAAACTTAAAAAACACTATTTGTTTTACTTTAATTTAGAATACAAGATTCTACGTGCAACGCACGTGTTTCTTACTAGTATGTAAAAATATGAGTAACTTACTTATGAAAATGTTGATGTCGATAGAAATGTCGGAACAACATAATGAAGATCAATGGAAAGAATTTAAATTAATAAATTGAAATTTAATGTTGCTTAATTATGTTTTATTGATAATTGATAATTTATAATCAAATCTAGTGTTTAGTTACATAATTGAACAAGATATGAAATATTGATATATATACAAACACATTTACAATGATTAAAAATATAAGGATAGGTTTGAAAATTTTATAATTAAATTTGAAAAAAAAATTCAATCAGAATAAAAATAAGTCAATATAAAAATTGAAATAATAATAATTATTATTATTATTAGAATAAGTAGAATTGAAATGAGACGGAAAAAAGGAAAGAAAAAAGGAAAAAAAAAAGGCACGAACTACATCCCTAAACGATCCCACATTGGAAAAGGGATCGGGGGAGGGGAGCACCTCCTATAAAAGGCGCTCCCCTCCTTTCTTTTCTAATCCACCCAACATCATGGGTTAGCCTCCATTAAGTGGGTCTAGCCATCAAGTTAATTTTTTTTAACGATATGTGGTAAATATCGTCAACATCGACGATATTTTGTTATATCGTCAATAAGGGGGAAAAACGATATTTAGTACACTGATTGCGCCAAAAAAAGAAAGATTTTTTAAAACAATTCCTTTTGCAAAACAATATTTTAAAAGTGGAAAAGTGGAAACTTTCAGTGCCCACATCTGCTAGAGTGTCACACGCGCCAGACGTGATTCACTAAGCTTCTACAACCTTTTAATATTCTATAATTAAACAGATGATATAACTTTTTAGGGTAAATTACATTTTTGGTCCCTAAGTTTGATGATATGTTTTTATTTTATCTTTGAATTTCATAAAGTGATAGTTTAGTCCTCGAACTTTAGGAAGTTGTTCTAAAGGTCCATAAACGCAAACTTTCATTAGTTAGAAATGCTGACATGGCAATGGAGAGTTGACGATTTTTATTATTTTTTTAGCTTAGGTGTCACTTTTTCCCTTCCCATCTTCTCTTTCTCTCCCCACCTTCAGGTTCCATTTGTACCCTTTCCCTCTGGCCTTTCCATTTCCCATTCATAAAACATCATATATGTAAACTACGAGAGTTTCTTTCAGAAACATTAAGATCCAAAAAGCCAACTTCTTCTATAGTACGCTGGAGAGAAATGCTAGCATCTTTTAGGGCCTTTAGTAACAGACGTAGGTGGCTGTTACGTTCCCACAACCTAGGTGAATGAAAGTGCAAGTGTGCACTATATTCGTCAATTGTAGTATAAACAAGGTTGAAACCCACATGGAATATATATAAACTCTAAGTATGTGCTAAAGAATACCAAAAATGCAAAATAAAATATAAGCGGTAATGTGCTTAAAACTAGATTAAATGAATTACAACATAGAAATGAGCTCCACGAAGAAAATATTGTGGCCTAAGATGTTGGGGGTAAAGGAATGCGTTAACAAAAAGAACATAAAAATGAGGGTAACAGATAATGTGATTTAAAGTGGGGGAGATTACTCAATGCCTTCATGCGCTTACAAGAGATACTTTAGCATGGAAACACTATTGGTGCTCAAGTCGACTTGGTTCTCTTCCAAGACACCCAGAAATGACTCTGTACAACTTTTGTTGCTAAACAGTCAAACATAAAGAGCAGTTTCTAAGTATGGTTAGACTGACCACAAATAGAGCCAATCACGCGTCCTATACACGGACCTACTAGAAAAGATAACTAACCACAAATAGAGTCAATCATGCGTCCTATACACCCTTCCGAGTCATACAAGAGCAAGTAAACTAATAAATGTGGCCAACAAGAATCTATAAGATGAAAATATTAATAAAACTCTATTTATTAGCAGCGAAAACGAGCTAGAGACCTATGTTTACGAATTACATTGAAGGTCCCTCGAAAGTGAGGTTTAGTGTTGTAATGATCCCAATTTTTATATGTAATTAATAATATAATATTGAGATAATTACTCATAAAACATAATTTCATTAAAATAAAATAAGATAAAAACTTGTTCTTTCATTAAAAATGGAAACGATAACTTAATAAAACTTAACTTATAAATCT